CTGTAACCCCAGCATTTGGGAAGCTGAGGCCAGCAAAAACTAAAAAAAGAGACTCTGTGTTAAAAAAAAAAAAAAAAAAACCACCCCCACCCAAGATTCTTATTTCGCTGTTTTCTGTAGAATGAGTATGTATATCCAGTTGTTTTCCTGGTACTAGGGAATAAATCCAGGATCTTTGCACTGAGCTACATCTTTAAATTTTTTTTTTTGTTTTGAGGAAAGGTTTTGCTGAGTTGTCTAGTTTGGATCTGAACTTTTGGCCCTCCTCCCTCAGCTCCCAGAGTGCTGGAATGACCAGCATGCGCCACCACACCTGGCCATTTACACATTCTTTTTTGGTACTAGGGATCCAACTCAGGACCTTGTGCTTGTCAGGCAGGCGCTTATGCCGCTGAACTTTTCCCTGGCCTCATATACACACTTTCTTATCAATATCATAAATTCATATTGGTAATGAAACTGTTGATTTATGCAGTCACTGAGGTGTACACCTTGCCCCCTACTGCAGGCCACAGGATTGGAGCTACGCAGACTTGGGTTCAAGTCCTGGTTCTTCACTACGTAATCACGAAAGACTAGAGGGTAGCTTGGGGGTCGGGGAGATGGCTCAGTAGAATAAGTGCTCGCCTGGCAAGCACAAGGTCCTGAGTTCAATCCCCGGTTCCACCAAAAGAAAAAGAAAGAGTAGCTTGGCTTCTCAGTGTCTGAGTTCACTCACAGTGAGGTCCACCGCGCTCACCATCACACGGCTGCGGTGACTTCTGACCCTGATGCCTGGAGTTAGGCAGCTGCCCAGAGGAGTCTGCCCTCACTCCAGACCCAGCAGGAAGCCCAGTAGCCCCAACTCCCATTAAGCTCATTCTCCAGGACAACTCATAGGATTCAGGAAAGCCATGTGCTTCAAAATTCAGTATTCTAGAGCCAAAAGGGTACAAATCAGAGCTGAAGAAATCACTTGGATGAGGGCCAGGAGAGCAGATGTCTTGTCACAGAGCCCAAAGCCCAGTCGTCTGTCCCCATGGTTGGCCGGTCCCCGCTCACGTATCCTGTCAGCACAGACTGTCCAGGGTCCACCGGGAGTCACTCATTAGCATCAGCCCACTGTGGATCACAAGGTGCTCCTGTCACAAGAGAAATCCCACGGATCCAGAAGCGCGCGCCCCCCCCCCCCAGCCTCCAGGCGTGGGGACAAAGGCTGGCTTGTTTCTTATCGTGCAGCAGGGTGACTGCTGTGTCAGGGCGGGGCTGCCTGGGTGAGCCATATGAATTACAGTGCCCAGCCCACGGCTCTCAGAAGCTCACGCTCGTCGAGTTTGCCATGCGCTTCCGTATGTCTCTGAGGGTGGCAGTCTGTTTTCTCACTTTCATTGCTTTGTTTTCATTCTGTCCATTTTTTGCATAAATCAGTGAATGTTCTCATCAGATAGCATTCTTTTAATTTCTATATGCATATTACGTATTTAACTGTTTTTAAGATTATATACGTTCACGGTTGTTTTTAGGTCATCTTATATTGCCTACCCATTTAAACTTTTTTTTTTAATATTTATTTATTTTTATTCATTACATTTATTTATTGTGTGTGTGTGTGTGTGTGTGTGTGTGTGTGGCCAGCTCCGCCCACCAGGGGGCGAGGCTGGCTGGCATGTGGTGCTGGAGGATTGAACCGTGGTCCTTGTGCTTTGCCAAGCTTGTTTCAAGTAGGTGCTTTAGACCACTGAGCCATCTCTCCAGCCCCCCATTTAAACTTTTAAGTCAAAATAAATTCATTAATATTTCATAAAAAAATAAATGAGTGATCTCTACTCAGGTTTACCAGTGATTAAGATTGGTAACAGGTTTGGACTTTAGCTTTCAGCTTCTGTCCTGGTTACTTTTCTCGTTGGTGAGACAAAATACCCAATGCCCAAAGTTACAGGAGGAGAGGTGTATTGGCTCACAGTTTGTAGAGGTGTCAGTCAGTAGTCAGCTGGCTCTAGGGCAGGCTGACGTGGCAGCAGAGCACTGTTCAAGGCGGAGAGACGGCAAAATCAAAAACCAACCTTAACAGTGTCTTTCTGCCTCTTTTATACCCTAGCTAGGTTTCTCATACACCTTTAATCCCAGTATCACACACTCGAGCTTCAACCACCTCTGAAAAAGCCCTGTGACTGCATGAGGCTTTGAGGAACATTTAGACCCAAACCATAACACCTTCTTATTTTCATGTTGTTTGGTTCTTGTTCTTTTGGTTTTTTTTTTTTTTTTGTTTTGTTTTGTTTTTTACCGGAATAGTTGTTTATTTTCTTGGAATTTTTTTTTTTTTAAGTGTAATTAAACCTTTATTTTGTGATTGTTTTTTTGGTCTGCTGTGAAATTCTTTCCCCTCTTTTTGTCAGTTACATTCATGAAGATACGTTTAGATATTGAATTTGTTTAGAAGTTGAATAATTTTGTTAAAGGCACAGTTAATCATACTGGTTGTACTCTGAAGACAGACTTTAAAAAATAAAAAGAATTTAAAGCATCTGGTGATTAGATTAATATACAGAAACCCAAAGTTCAAGCCATGGCCATTTAATTCAGATCACAAAACTTGAGACGCACACCTAACATATAACCTTCTTATATGCACTGATTTTAAATTCTGGTACCTTTTTAGGAATGAGAGGTCTGTGTTGTTGAGCACCTACTCTTTAATGCAAAGACTCACATTTACTTTTTCAAATGGTTCAATCTCACATGTAAGCCCTTAGCAGACCCCTAATAAAAGACCAATTTGTAAAACTGGGCCATTTTACTGTTTCTACAATTTAATAAATAGCTTTCTTGATGAACGTAGTCATGACAGTTGAGCAGTATTCGAGTTACGGTTTTCCTGATTGGTCTGTAGTCTTCAATTGAAGTGTAAGAAGTTACTGTATGAAACATTTGTCAAACTAGTAAGACTGCATTGATGCATCCATCATTTTCAGGATTGTTGGTTACCTGAGCATATTTGCCATTGGCCTAATGAATCTTTCATATTTAGGTGGTTTTCTTGTAAAACCATCTCCAACAAAGCAGACTTTAGTAACCATCCTCTTCCATGCCTTCTTTTTTCTCTTTCCAGTTCGAATAACTTTTAATACTTCTGTTTCTCCTTGGGCACGAACTTTGGGCAGAGGAACTTCCCATTTTCCCGCCTTTTCTTTCCGTTTCTGTTTAATCATGTTGGAAAGTACTTTTGCACGAGACTGTCCTTCTCTGTCCAGCAGGTAGGCAGGTACTGCTCCTTGGGGAGTCTTTTCATCATTCTTTTGCTTGGTGTTTCTCTTTTCATGCATTTTGATAGTCTTCTTCATTTGTATTTTCTCTGCATGGCGCTGTTTGTGGTAGAGCTTAGCCTTCAGGCCAATCATTTTTTTTGCCTTCTTTGAACGTTCATGAGCCTCTCGACTTTCCTTTTTTCTCTTTTTCTCATGGTAATCCAAGCGGTACCCATAGCATTTACGATGTAATTCAATATATTCATTCTGTGGCATGATGACAGCTGCAGAGCCACCGCCGGCGCCCTCAAGAGTGCAAAGAAAGGTCCTAACTTTGGGGCATCTCAGACGCACGAGCTGCCTCCGCGCAGCCGGAAACAGGAAGGCTCTTTTGGTTTTTTGAGACAGGGTCTCGCTATGTAGTCCAGGCTGGCCTTGAACTCACTATGTAGCCGAGGCTGGTCTCGAACTCATGGTAACCACCCGCCCCTGCCTCAGCCTCCTGGATGCTGGGATTGCAGGAGTGCCAGCACACTCAGCTTTCATGTTCTTTTGTGCCCAGGTCTATTTATATGAATTGAACTTTTGGGGTTCTACAGTGAAATGAACAGAACACTCTTACTTGTGAAATGGCTATAGCTTTTTTTTTTTTTTTTTTGGCAGAACTGGGAATTGAACTCAAGCCCTTGTACTTGCCAGGCAAGTGCTTATTCTACTAAGCCATCTCCCCAGACCCAAAATGGCAATAGTTATAAGGATTTTTCTCATGTGTTAGATTGCTCTGTCTCTTACAATTTTGTAAATGATTGGACGATATTGGTTGAACTCATCTATTAGATTTCATGTGGACCTTGTTTGCCTAAGGGTAACACTTTTTATGATTACTGAGTAAGATTCTTACCTTAGTAAAATACAAACATATGAACATCAGAGGGCTAAAGATTAGGTTAGTCGTTTGGGAGCAATTGTGCTGAGCCAATTGCTTGTGACAAGTTTGTGAATTACTGTGAAACTGACAGATGACTTCAGGGGTCCTCATCTGTAAAAAGGAATATGTGCAAAGGTTAGTGGCCCACAACTCTAGTCCAAGGACTGTAGGAAGCTGGAACAAGAAAAGAGTTCAACCTGGGCAACTTAGCAAGAATTTATCTTGGTTTTGTTGTTGTTGTTGTTTTGGTTTGTTTTAATTAAGAACTTATCTTGAGGGCTGGCCAAATAGCTCAGTGGATTAAAGCGCCTGCAAGCAGGCACAGGGGCCAGGGGTTCAATCCTCAGGCCTGCTGTGCCAGCTCCGCCCCCAGGGCCTGCTGAGACAGCAATTGAGACTGGGTGTGGTGGCACAGCCTGTAATCCCAGCACTTGAGAGGCTGTAAACAGGCAGATTACTATGAATCCAATCTAGTAGGGAGACCTTGAACACCCTGTAGACATTCCCTAAAATACAGAAAAAAAAAAAGAACTTATCTTGAAATAAAAAAAATTAAAAGGACTCAGATGTATGGATAATATACAAGAATTTTTTCTGAACTAATTTCAAAAGAGTAAAATCATTCATGTTTTCTTTAGCTCTATGTTTTGCACATCCGACTTGCTTCTTAAATGTAGAATTGTCAAACCATAATGCCAGAGATAATAGAAGCGGTATTTTTTCTTTCTTATTTGTATTTTCCCATGGATCAGTGCTCTGTGCCTGTTTCAGGGTGTTCTTTTGGAGGGAGTGTGTGTGTTCTCCATTGCCTTTTCATCCCTGAGCAAGAGTGACAGGAGGGAGCTGGGGAGATAGCTCGGCGGCATCCGTGCCTGCCTGGCAAGCACCAGGTCCCAAGTTCGATTCCTGGTACTACATGCTGTGCTGACCCTAAAGCCGGGCATGGTGGCGCACACCTGTAATCCCAGCACTGCGGGAGGCTGAGACAGGAGGATCACTGTGAGTCCTAACTGTGTAGAGAGACTTTGTATCAATAAAAATTAAAAGAGAAAAAGTGACAGGAGGGGACCCTCAGGGTGAAGCAGTTCTGACGCTGTCCCTCCACACTCTCTGGGATGGGGCTGCTGCCCCGAGCTCTGTGTTTCTGCAGAGACCAAGGCAGAGAGGTCCTTGTGTGACCCATGTGAAGCACCATGCGTACTGAGTCAGGCATTGTTTTTAATTATTACATAGGACACAGCATAGCTTTGGCCACCTAGGCACGTGTCCTCTTTTGGTCATTGGTACTGTGAGATCTATCACATGACTCACACACTCATGTCCAGGAGCACACAGACAAACTGCAGTGTCATGGCACATCCCTGAGGCCCCTGTGTGTCCACCACTGGGGTGGAGGAGGAGGTCATCCCTCGGGAGTTGTACACCCTCCTGCCAGCATCACTGCTCTCCTGGCCTCTTGCCTATTGTCTGTCACCTACCCATCCTTCCTGGGACTCTGAAACCAGGGCCTCGCTCACACGACACCAGTGTTCTACCACTGGGCTACATCCCAGCCTTGTAAAATTTTATTTTGAAGATGAAAGTTAATTTTGAGACAGATCTGGATCAACATTATCCCCAAGTTCTGTGTGTTACTAGTAATTGACTAATTTATCTGCCTTTTATTCAGTGGTTGGCTTTTTGTTTGTGGGTTTTTTGTTTTTGTGGAACTGGGAATTGAACTCAGGCCCTTGTGCTTGCCAGGGAAGCGCTTATTCCACTGAGCCTTCTCCCCGGCCCCCCACTGAGCCATCTTGTGTTTGGGTTTGATCTGGTGAAGAAATCCTTGTGTGTCTCAAGGCCGTAAGGTATTTTTGGTGTTGTCTCAGAGGACCTGTATTTTACTTTGACAAAGAGACCTGTGGGATTGGGGTTGGCTTCCATGTGTCACATGGGAGGTTTCCTTTTGGCTGTGTGTGTTGCTGTGACCCTGGTCACTGGAAAGACCCTGTCTACCTGCTGTGTGCCTAGTGCTACCTGTCATTACCCAGCGGGGCTGTATTTGTGGGTTTCAGATGGGAGATTTATCTTCAGTCCCATTAGTTGGTCTGTCCTTGCACAGATTCCACTGTTGGGATTACCATAACTTGATAATACTTTTTTTTTTTTTTTTTTTTTGGTGGAACCGGGGATTGAACTCAGACACTGTGCTTACTATAGAAGTGCTTATTCTGCTGAGCCATCTCCCCAGCCCCTTGGTAATATATCTTGAGCAAGTATTTTTGTCTTGTTCTTTTTTGGGCCTTCAAATTTCTGTGTAGCCAGGTAATTCCAGCACTGGGAGGCTGAAGCAGGAGGGCTGTCACAAGTTCGAGGCTTGCCTAAACTGTAATATAGGTAACTAGCCAAGACCACCAGGTTTGTGTAAGCCAATATGACATGGAATTTATCTTGCCTGGGTTCGGGCAGAGAGAGCGCCAAGAACTTCTGCCCCGAACAAAGAGAAGTGTGTCCTTTAGGAACAGAGAGAAGGCAGGGGCATCAGGCGGGAGGATTCCAGTGAACATCTGTGTGTCAAGTTTCCTGGCAGTCTTGCCTCTCAGCGGGCAGAGCCCTTGAAGCGTCTGCTGTATGTTTTCAGGTGTCTCCAGATGTCTCCAGGTCCTGCAGAGTTCCTTGTCCTGTCTTACTCCTTTCCTGTGTTTGTCGATGGCAGCCTCGGTGCTGAGCTGAGTTCCCTGCAGAGAGCAGCCAGGCTGGGGGCTGGGAGAGTCAGGTCAGGTTGGAGGCCTACATAAACTACATAGTGAGACCCTGTCTCAAACAACAAATTTCCATGCAAATTTTAGGCTTTAGTTGTGAAGTTCCATTTTTTTAAAAGTTAAGAATTTGATGGCTGGCCTGATAGCTCAGCAGACTAAAGTGCCTGCTTAGGCAGAGCGCAGTGGCTGGGTTCATTCCCCAGCATGCAGTGCCAGCCCCACCCGCGGGACGTGCTGAGATGGTAGTTGAGGCTGGGCGTGGTGGTGTGCGCCTGTAATCCTAGAGCACTTGGGAAACTGAAAACAGGAGAATCACTACGAGTCCGATCTATGTACTGAGACCCTGTAGACCCGGGAGACCCTGTCCAAAATACATTTTTAAAAAGGGGTTTTTTTTTTGTTTGTTTGTTTGTTTTGCAGAACTGGGGATTGAACTCAGGCCCTTGTGCTTGCCAGGGAAGCGCTTATTCCACTGAGCCATCTCCCTGCCTCCTCCCTGCCCCCCCCCCAAAAAAAAAGTTAAGAATTTGTGATTGAACTGGATTCACAGACACTGCTGCAGTGTTCAGCCACTTAGTGGATGCTGTATATCCTTCAACATATTTAAATCTTTCATTTTTCTCAACAACTTTTAAACAATAACAGATTTACTGACACTAGGGCACTATTAAGTTCATCATTTTGAAGTGTACATTTCAGTGGTTTTCATTATATCCATAGAGTTATCCTTCCATTACCACACTCTTATTTCAGAACATTTTTTTCACTCTTAAAAAAACTCCCTATCTCAGCCCTTGGAAGGCTGAGGCAGGAGGGTCACTGTGAATTCGAGACCAGTCTGGGCTACAAAGTGAGCTCAAGGCCAGCCTCAACTGTATAGTGAGATCCTGACTCAAAAGAATACACAGACAAACAAACAAACAAAAGAAACCCTGTACCTTTTGTCAGTTACTTCCTAGTCTCTCCCTTATCCAATTCCTAGATATCACTCATCTGTTTGTTATCTCTATAGTTTGCCTATGATGTGTTTTTCCTGTGAGTACAATCATGCTGTATATGGCTGTTTGTCCCCTTTACTTAAATTTTCAAGGTTCCTGCATGTGGTAATACATGTCTGATAATACAGAATTTTTTTTGTTTATGGCTGAATAATATTCGATCATATGGTATTCACATCCATTCATCAGGTCATGGACAATCTTACATTACATTATGTTTAATGTAAGATATTAAAAAAATACCTTACAGAGCCAGGTGTAGTGGTGCATGCCTGAAATCCCAGCACTTGGGAGCCTGAGGCAGGAGGAGTGCTGCCAGTTTGAGACCAGGCTGGGCTATGAAATGAGCTCAAGTTCAGCCTAAACGGCATATCAAGACCGTGTCTCAAAAAGACAAGCATCAACAACACCCTTATAGTTTTTAGAAATAGAGTCAATGCTGTTGTTTAATTATGTTTTATGGTTCAGTAATGGCTTATTCATGAGTCTGTGTTTGGTTGAGTGTTCTCCAGGTTTATGACTAAATGTGCTGGGTTGAGGTGTCCGTTTTGCCGCGCGTACTAGCCTGATCCCAGAGTGCCTGGGTCCCAGCAGGCGGTCTGCTCAGGTAGTGCCCACGGGTGCACGTTGGTGAGTGACTGTGCACGGCGCATGGCTTCCTGGCGCCTTTGTCACATGACCTTGTCTGTGTTTGCAGGTGGAGTGGTTCAATCAGTACAAAAAGTCTCTTGCCACTTACATGCGGTCCCTGGGAGGGGCTGAAGGCTTGGACATCACGCAAGACATGAAACCACCAAAAAGCCTGTACATTGAAGTACGTATGTTTTAATTACTGTGTAGACTGCTGCCTTTGCCGAAGATGATGGGTTCTATGAATGTGCACTGGCCTCTATGAAGCCGTTAAGGAAGCATAAGTTAAAACCAGGAGAGTGAGCTAAGGGGGTAGAGAAGAGGATGGAGGAGCGGGTGTGAGCATCTGACCTTCATAGGTTTGCCTTGGGGTCATATAAATATTTCCTCCTTATTAAAACAAAATTAAGCCAGGCATTGTGGCACATGCCTATAGCCCCAGCACTTGGGAGGCCAAGGCAGGAGGACCACTGAGACTTCAAGGTCATCCTGGGCCTCAAAGTGAGGTCAAGACCAGCCTGAACTGCCTAGTGAGACCCTGTCTCAGAAAGACAAAAAAAAAAAAAAAAAAAAAGTAAAGTAAAATAAAATAAATCAAAATGGAAAGCCAATCCCTAAATTTTTATTTTTAACTTTTTTTTGGTACCGGGAATCAAACTCAAGGCCTTAAACTTCTCAGGCAGATGCTGCACCACTGACCTACATCCCCAGCACCCTAAAATTTTAAAGTAAAGCCCAACAGATGAACTTGTCTTTCAAGATGGTGGATTTATCAGACAGGTATTATTTTTGTTTAGTCACCTAGTTTTATGGTACTAGGGTTTGAACCTAGGGAAATGCATGCAACAAATTTTGTAACCTTTATTTTTTGAGACAGGGTCTCACTATGTTATTCAGGCTGGCCTTGAACTCATAGTGGTCCTCCTGCTTCAGCCTCCCGAGGGCTGAGATTACAGGCATGCACCATCACGCCTAGCAGAACTTCCATCATCGTAGCCATTTATTTATTTATTTATTTATTTATTTATTTATTTATTGGCAGAGCTGGGGATTGAACTCAGGTCCTTGTCCTTGCCAGGCAAGTGCTTATTCTACTGAGCCATCTCCCCGGCCCCATCGTAGCCATTTCTAAACGAATAGTCAAGAAAGTACTAGATGCTTGCCTAGTATTGTGCAGCCTTCACACCATCCATGCCTACATATCTCTTTACCTTATGAAACTGAAATTCTGTGCCCACTAAACAGAAATCCAGGGGCTGGGGAGATAGCTCAGTAGAATAAGTGCTTGCCTGGCAAGCGCAAGGGCCTGAGTTCAATCCCTGGTGCTGCCAAAAACAAAAAACAAATCCATAATCCCTCTTCTTGTAGCTCCTGAGAACCACTACTATATTCTGCTTTCTATCTCTAAATTTGGCTACTGTACCTCATATAAATGGAATCATATGGTATTTGGTTTTGTTTTTTTTTTTTTTTTTTTTTTGCCTGCTCAACCCACCCTGGGCGTGGGGCTGGCGTGGCATGCGTACCAGAGATCGAACTGCAGTCCCTGCACATTTCCCTAAGCTTGCCTAGGCAGGCACTTTAGACTGCTGAGCTATCACGCCAGCCCCTGTATTTGTCTTTTTGTGACAGGCTTATTTTTCTAAGACAGAATTTTGCTTTGTAGCCCAGGCTGGCCTTGAGCTCACACTGACCCTCCTGCCTCAGCCTTCCAAGTGCTGGGATTACAGCTCTGGCTCTGTGACCGCCTTATTATTTAGCATAATAGTCATCTTTTTTTTTTTTTTTTTTTCTTTTTTGTGGTACGGGGGATTGGACTCAGGCCCTTGCACTTGCCAGGCAAGCGCTTATTCTACTGAGCCATCTCCCTGCCCTGGTTCATCCATTTTGTAGCATGTGTCAGAATTTTTCTCTTGGGGCTGGGGAGATAGCTCCACAGCGTAAGCACCTGCCTGGCAAGTGCAAGGTCCTGAGTTCCATCCCCATACTGCATGCCATGTGGCCCCGGAACTGGGCATGGTGCACACCTATAATCCCAGCACTAGGGAGGTTGAGGTAGGAGGATATCACTATGAGTCTGAACTGCATAGTGAGACCCTGTATCAAAAATAAAAATAAGGGACTGGTGAGATGGCTCAGTGGTCTAAAGCACCTACTTAGAACAAGCTTAGCAAAGCACAGGGACCGCGGTTCAATCCCCCAGGACCACATGCCAGCCAGCCCCGCCCCCTGGTGGGCTGAGCTGGCCACACACACACACACACACACACACACACACACTAAATAAATGTAAAAAGAAAATAAAAATAAAAATAAAAATAAATAATTTTTTTTTTCAGTACCAGGGATTGAACTCAGGACCCTGCGCTTGCCAGGCAAGCACGTATTCTATCGAGCTATCTCCCTGGCCCCTTAAATAAATAATTTTTTAAAAGACTTTTTTCTTTTTTTGGAACTGGGGATTGAACTCAGACTCTTGCGCTTGCCAGGGAAGCACTTATTCCACTGAGCCATCTTCCTGGCCCCGATTTTTTTCCTTTTTAAGGCTGAATAATATTCCATTTGATGGATGAACCCTTTTGCTTATGTCACCCATTTCTGCCTTCTAGCTATTGGGTTAATGCTGGTGTGAACATGGGTGTGTGACTAGCTCTTCCAGACCACGCTTTCCATTGTGTTAGCAGTATACCCGGAAGCAGAGCTGTTGCATCCCATGACGATTCTGTGCTTCAGTCTTGAGGACGCACCCCCGCTTTGGTGGTGGTTCCTTCATTCCTCATAAAAGGTGTGGCTGAGTTCAATCCCTGGTACCAAAAAATAAAAATAAAATTTTATATATACATAAGGAGTGGGCTATCATTGTGGCTTCAGTCCCATTTTCCTAACTGTTAGAGATGTGGCGCACCTTTTCACAGGCTTATTAGCTGTTGACACATGTTTGAATATTTATTTATTTTTTATTTATTACATTCATTTATTGTGTGTGTGTGTGTGTGTGTGTGTGTGGCCAGCTCAGCCCACCAGGGGGCGGGTCTGGCTGGCATGTGGTGCTGGGGGATCGAACCGAGGTCCCTGTGCTTTGCCAAGCTTGTTTCAAGTAGGTGCTTTAGACCACTGAGCCATCTCTCCAGCCCCTGTTGACACATGTTTGAAGAAATGTCTGTCCAGACCTTTTGCACATTTTTTAATTTGGGGGGATATATATGATAATACATATGCTGCATTATAATCTTTTGGCAGATGTATGACCTGCAAATATTTTATCTCGTTTTATGGCGTGCTCTGTATGCTGCGGACACTGTCTGTGATGCCTAAAATATTACAGTTTCAAGCAGTCTTATTTGTGTTTCCCCTTTTGTTGCTTGTGCCTCTGGTTTCACATCCAAGGAACCACCTCCGAGTTCCTTGTAGGCAGGGAACACGCTTTATGTCTTGAGACGTGACTGGAAGCCTGACGTGGGCCTGTCCAGCCGCTTGAAGAGCGGGGCTGAAAGGGCACTGAGTTGGCAGCCTGGCCGGCTAGCACCGCAGGACTGTGTCTGAAAAGAAAGCTAAAGGCCCGGATTTCCCTTTCAGGTGCGGTGTCTGAAAGACTATGGAGAATTGGAAGTGGAGGATGGTACTTCAGTCCTGTTGAAAAAAAATAGCCAGGTATTTCTTGTCTCACCACATACTTTTACTTTAAACCTTGTAAGAGTGGAAATTTTGGAATGAGAAGTGAAGTCACTAAGGCCTTTGATGACCATGTCATAGGCGTTGTGTTTAGTACAGGACACTCTGGGCTTTTTCAAATATGGACTCTAAGTGAGTGTTTCATGCAGTAGGAAAGGTTAATTAATTTACTAGGATGTTGCTAATATTTAAGATTAAGCATTTTCCATGGAAATTATCATAATGGGCCTTACTCTAGTTAAGTGGTAGGTCATTATTCTAAGGTTTTTGATATGTTGGATTAGGTGCCTGGCCCTAAATTATGATTTTTTAAAAATAATTTTATTGAGAAACAAATAGCAACGAGACAGTTTCAAAACCGATTAGTAGGACAGTTTCTAATTAATACATTGCATATTGTTGTCTTAGTGGTTATTCATTGTATAAGATGCAGACATGATATCATGTCCACAAACCTCAAATTATAATTTGTAAAAGCATTCCTAAACAATCTTTCTCAGCTTGCACTTTACCTTAACCTAGTTCTTTAGAAAACTGGTGAGCAGGGTGTTGTGGTGTACACCTGAAATCCCAGGCTGAGGCAGGAGGATGGCTGTGAGTTTGAGGTCAGCGTGGGCTACAAACTAAGTTCAAAGCCAGCCTGAACTGCATAGTGAAACCCTGTCTCAAAAAAGATAAAAATCGGGGGCCTGGCCCTAGCTCAGTCCTTTAAGTGGCTGCTTCCACAAAGCTGTCAGCCTCAGGTTGCTGTAGTTCAATCCCCACAACACTCCAGCCAGCCAAACCTGCCCTGAAGGCATTCGGAGAAAAAAAAAAAAAAAAAAAATCCTTATAATCCTGCTTTACCTTGGTTTTGGCCATCCAGCAGAAAAGTATAAAAACAAAATATAAGAATTAAAGCCATGCTGTTATGTTGAGCTGTGGGGGACTCAGGTCAACAATTTCTGACATTGCCAGTCAAGCGGAAGACCCAATACTATTATGGGCTACTGGACTCTTTTGGAATATTTTGCTGAGTTTACACACCTATAATATTCAAATAACGGAACTTAACAAAAAACGGTATACAGACGATTGCATCTGTGTATTCAAAGTGGTTTGGATAGATATATAGTTACAGTCTCTTAATGAATAGAATGATTCTTATACAGCAGTTAACCACTAGGAAGAATGTATGTAGTGTGTTAATTATTGAAACTGTCCTACCGATTTGATTTGCAACTGTCTCATTGCTATTTATCAATAAAATTATGGGAAAAAAAGACAAAAATCAATCAATCAAAACAGTGGTGATAGAGCTTAAGAATTTGTAAGTATAGGGGCCAAGGAGATGGCTCAGTGGAATAAGCGCTTCCCTGGCAAGCGTGAGGGCCTGAGTTCAATCCCTGGTTCCACAAAAAAAAAAAAAAAAAAAAGTATTTGTAAGTATTTAATATATACTATAATATGGGGATGTTGACATTATAAAATTGTAACCTGAGCCCATTTTTTTCTCATAAAGAGTCTCAACGTATTTGTTTCCTTGGCATTTTCAGATTCAGATTAGGTAGATTCACATTGGCAAAATTTATTTTCATCACTTTTCTCTTGAGGGTCCACACTCTTATTTTCTTTCAGTATATGTTTTAAATTCTGCATAATAAACTGCTTTATCCTTCTCAAAACAAAAAATTCCTTCTATCCAGTCTCTGAGGTCAGAGTGTGGGAGGTAAAGGGTCATCCTTAAAGCCTCTCTTTCTGTCGCTACCTTGGTGCTGGCCAAGGTGCTGACCTTACTCTGTCTACACCACAGAACACGGTTTCGGCACGTGCAGTTCCTGCTGTCTTATTTCACCAGTACTCTTAGAGCTTTAGCTTTCTGAAACAAATGCTGCCTGGTTTAGAAACTGGTTTCGAGGGTACCTCGAAGGCCACAGCGGCACTGTAGTCCCCGCAGGAGGAGGTCACAGGTGAAGCCGGGCCGGTGCAGGTTGAGCTCACAGGCAGCCTGGGCTCTCAGGGCACACCGTCCTCAACAGGGCGTGGGATGCTGCCGCTGCCGTGCGGCCTTCTTCCTCCAGCAGTGCCTGCTCATTGCCTCTGTGTGGACCACACCAACTGGCCTTCCTCTTGAGGGGCTTTTAATTTAGTCTTTCAACTGACACCCTGCCCTCAGGCACAGAAGTGAATGTGTTAAAATAAGAACTTAATCAGCATATTTTAAGCCTATCCTGGACTACTCTATTTGATACTTTGGCTTCTAAGGTGTCTGACCAGAGATGATGTTGATTGTAGGCCGTGGTGTGGGTCATCCCCATAACGCAGATATTAGTAGGGAGAGCTTTCTTTTTGATTTACTTATTTGGTACAGGGACTTGCTATGCAGCTCAGACTCATAGCGATCCTCCTGTCTCAGCCTCCCCAGTGCTGGGATTCCAGGCAGGCACTACCACGCCTGGTTTCAGTGGCCAGCACAGCATGCCCCAGATTCTGGGACTGGAACAGCATGTAGTACTAGAGATCGAACCTGGATTCTTGCACTTGCCAGGCAAGCATTTAGACCACTGAGCTATTTCCCCGTCCAGGAAGATCTTTTCTTAACACATATTCTGTAATACATGTCAGCCATCGGCATGAAGAGAAATCATGAATCCTCTTTTAAATGATGCATTAAAAAAAAAAATTAGTAATTTGGGGCCAGGGAGATGACTCAGTAGAATAAGTGCTTAAGGGCCTGAGTTCAATCCCCAATTCTACCAAAAAGAAAATTCATTGTAAAGGTTTAAAAAGGAGTGTAGATGGGCTAGTGAGATAGCTTAGCTGTCTAAAGTGCCTGCTTAGGCCATCTCTGGTTCTGAAAAAAAAAAAAAAAGAAAAATTAGCAAATGATACATTAGAATAGCTAGGACTCGCTGTGTTTACTTAACTGTGCTGGAGAAGCTGTTAAATGCACTGTTTCACAGGCAGTGGACAAGTTGATAGTCCTCAGCCTGTATGTCTTTATGGCTTACATAGAATTTGGTCACGGTCTTTTACTGGGGATTGAACTCAGGCCCTAGCGCTTGCCAGGCAAGTGCTTATTGTACTGAGCCATCCCTCCGGGCCCCATGGTTACGGTCTCCATAAGGCCTTTGAGTTTGTGAGGCAGGATCTTCAAGTGCAAGGTTGAAAAGTCACCTTTGCTTCTTGACTTTTGGGAGGGGGCTGCTGGGGGTTGAATTCAGGGTGTTAGCACTGAGCTACATCCCCAGTCCGTTTTAACTTTTTAAAAAAATGTTGAGGCAGAACCTTGCCAAGTGACTAATTGCCTGGCTTTGCTTGAACTTGTGAGCCTCCTGTTTCAGCTTCGGCTGGCTTGAATAGCGTTGGTAATCCCTGCCACCTCGATTATTTTCTAAGGTTATTTGCCTTCCCGTATAGTAATTGGTTTCTAGCTCTTACCCAGGTAGACCTTTCTGAGCTTGAATATCTTCCCTTGTGCGCTTGTGCACGTCTTTCTGCTCCATTCGCTGCTGCAGGAAACCCCCACCTTAGAGAAGTCTCCAAGGTGGTCTAAGTCCTCTGCGTAGTCTAAGTCCTGTGAGAACAACAGGGTGTGCCCCTGGGCGCACGGGATGGCTGTTGGCAGGCTCCAGCTTCTTCAGAAGCACAGGAGTGAAGTTGCCACTGCTGGTGCTAGAATCACAAAGCTTCCTGGGGACGACGCCCCCATGGGTGGTCTCGCATTGGGCTGCTGCTGTGCCATCGCCCTCCTCACCCTCCTGGGTTTTCTGTACGTGGATTTAGAAATGCAGACCCTAGGGGGAGTGCCTACTGGAAACCGGAAGTCTCCAGGTGAGTTCAGCTGATTCAGCAAACTGTGAATTCATTGATGGAAGTACGAATTCCATGTACCTCTCAGTGCATCGGTTTTAGTTGATCGTAACAACCACTACAGTCAAGTGGAACGTGAGCCACTCTGCTCTGGGAACTTAAAAAATAATCAGCTGCAGCCTTTTAATGATGGCAGAGACATGGACAGGTCTCGGTTATTTCTCTGACTCTTGCCCACCCCTTTCCCTCAGCACTTTTTGCCTCGATGGAAGTGTGAGCAGCTGATCAGACAGGGAGTCCTGGAGCACGTCCTGTCGTGACCTTGCATCCTGTCGTGACCTTGCATCCTGTCGTGACCTTGCGTCCTGTCGTGACCTTGCGCAGCGCCGGCATAGAGAGCTGCCCCTCCCCCACGTGGTGCTGGAGCCAGATCCCTGGACCGCCTACACCTTGGTCCAGCCCACAGCGACAGAAAGCTGACTACCTGAAAGTTAAACCCCAGCCCCAGTCTTTATTTGAAATGAGTATATACTAGCTAAAGATTTGAGCTGGGGATATAGCTCAGTGACACAGCGCCTGCCTGACAAGTGTAAGGTCCTAAATTCAGTTCTGCATACAAATAAATAAATATCTGAAATTGAAACTTTTGTATCAGTTTATAGTGACTAGTTTTTTATTTAGAGTTGTGGCTACAATTTTAAACATGTATCACATTTTATCATAATGGCGCTCGCCTGATAGCCCAGCATCTTGGAGGCTAAGATGGAAGGATGAGGGGTTCAAGGCTAGCATGGGCTATATAGTAAGTTCAGCATTGGCCTGGATTACCTAGTGAAGGCTTCTCAGCCTCTCCTGCCCCTAAAATGTATATTCAAAAAAAAAAAAAAAGGGAAGAGTCGACCGTAGTAAATGAAGGTAAGTTCCTTTATCTCTACTAATTATTGCCATCTGATGGGCCTGGTGTTAGCAGGCCCGCAGGTGGGGAATACAAGCCTCCATCCTTTAAATGTTTTACCACTTATTTTCTAGTTTTTGTGCCTTTTTAATATTTTTAAATTGGCTGTAGCTGGTAGGTGTAAGGAGGCTCAAGATGAAGATGACTCAGCTACATGCTACAATTCACCTAAACCCATTTTCCTGCACACCTTCCACTGCCGAGAGCTCCGGGGACAGAGTTTCCTACTGGGAAAGCTGAGGCTTGTCTTTGTACTGACTCACTGGGCACCACAGCCTTGTTCTCAGTCTTGTCTTTGGGCTTTTTTTTTTTTTCCCCCCTGGATATTTCGTTTTGGGTGTTTTTGTGGTACCGGGGATTGAACTCAGGACCTTGTACTTGCCAGGCAGGTGCTTATGCTGCTGAGCCATCTCCCCAGCCCTTGTGGGCCTTTGGTGCATATTTGCAGTACATGGTCACATTCCTTGTGGGGGCTGGTGGTGGGACATCACACCTTTGTTTTTTTTTTTATCCCCTTCCTTGCCCATGTTTTTTTGTTTGTTTGTTTTGTTTTTGTGGCTGGCTCAGCCCACCCTGGGACAGGGCTGGTGTGGCGTGTACTGCTAGGACTCAAACCGTGGCCCCTGTGCGCTTGCTTAAGCTTGCCTAAGCAGGAGCTTTAGACTGCTGTGCTATCTTGCCAGCCCATTGCCCATGTTTTATCAGGAAAAATATGAAAGCTGTGGCTCCTCTTGATGCAGTCTCAAAGTAAATTCAGCACCATAACTGAAAACCAGGCTGTGGTGACTAACAGTTTTTCCAGAGTGCTGGCTCGCTTATCTTCCTAAAGCCATCCGCTGTATGAACAAACTTTGTTTTGGAACTCTTGCATTCCTGCGCTAACCTCCTGGCCAAGCTGTGCTGACTGCTTAGCAGGCTGCGGTGCTGGTTTGTAGTGCTGGACAGAGGGCTGTGCGTGTGTCTTTTCTTGCTGGCACTCTGGGCTGTCTTCCTAGGAAACCCCAAGCAGGTGGCAACAGCCACTTCAAGTTGTATCAGGTCTGGATGTGGCAGGAGCAGCTGGGAAGAGGTCCCCCCATATCCAGGGCTGTCTGATGGCTCTGTCTCCCCTCACCGTGTGCTCCAGCAGGTGGCAGCCCAGGGCACCCTTGCTGTTGAATGTGGTGGTCCACAAGGCCAGGCCCAGCAGCGCTGGACTGAGCAGCCTGCTGCAGCCCATCCCCAGGGTCCCTGAAGGGGCTGGGGGAGCCCTGGAGGTGGATGCTGGGTTAGCTCTGGTCCTACTGAGCTTTGCAGGTTCTTTATATATTCTAGATCCACTTCCTTTGTGGGATGCGTGCTCTGTAAAAGCTTCCCAGCCTATAGTTTGTCATTTTAGAGGCTGTGTTCTCACTCTCTGTCTTTCTCCCTTTCACTGTGTTGGGGATTGAACCCATAGCCTTTAAACTGAGCAACATGCCCAGTCCTTTTTGTTTAGTTTTTTTGGTACAAGGAATCCAACTCAGGACCTCATGCTTCCCAGGCAGGTGCTGTGCCACTGAACTAAATACCCAGCCCTTGATTCTACCCTTGAGACAAGGTCTTGCTAAGTTGCCTCCCAGAGTACTGGGGTGATGGATACAACCTCTCACCCAGCTCAGTCTCTGCACTTCTGTCCCTCCTTCGCTCCCTCCCTCTCTCCCTCCCTCATTTCCTCCCTCTCTCCCTTCTTTTCTTGCTTTCTTTTTCAGGGTCTTGCTATGTAGTGCAGCTGGCATGGAACTCACTATGTAGCCCAGGCTGGCCTCAAACTTATGGCAACTCTCCTGCCTCAGCCTTCTGAGTGCTGGGATTATAGGCATCTGCCACCATGCCTGACTTGCAATTTCTTTTAAAGAACAGACATTTTTAACTTCAGTGAGTTCCTCTTTGCTAGTTCTCTTATCCTTTTTAAACTCTTCCCCCCAACCTCCCCACCTCCTATACTGGGACTTGAACTGTTTTCCCACTGGGCTACATCTCCAGCCCCCACCTCCCTTTGGTACCAGGAATCAAACCCAGGCCCTTGTGCTTGCCAGGCAGGTGCTTGTGCTGCTGAGTTATATCCCCAGCTCTCCAGCCTTTTTAAAAAAAATTTCTGAGACAGGAAGTCTCTAAGTTGCCCAGACTGGGCTCGAACGTGGAATTCTCCTGCCTTAGTTTCCTAGAGTGCTAGGATTACAGGCTGCACTACTGTACCCGCTTCTCTAGTCCATTAGTATTACATCTATGAAGTCTTTTTCATCTCGGGTCACTTTGTTTCCTTTTTCCTCCATAAATCATAGATTTTTTTGTTTTTGTTTTTTTAAATATTTTTTATTTTTTTAATTGAGAAATAAATATGAATGAGACAGTTTCACAGCTGATTAATAGGACAGTTTCGATAATCAATACATTGTACATTGTTATCTTCTTGTGGTTATCCACAGTACAAGAAGCAGACAGGATATCCTGTCCAAACACTATTAGTACACCTCTTTCTTCTCATTGAATTAAGCGAAAGTAGCTGTATATCTATCCTAACTATTTTGTATATATAAATACAAAATGATCTTTCCTTTGTATCCCCTTTTTTTTTGTTTAGTCCTGTCAGAGGTGAATATTCTATTGGCATCTAAATACTAAAGTGTTTGAATTCAGCTAAACAATCCAACACAGTCTAGCAGTCTATAATATTAGTGGGTTATCCTCAGAAGTCATTGACTTGAGCCTTTTACAGCTCATCATATTAATATGGTTTTACTTTATATACCTCGTTTTTATACTTTTCCTCTGGATGGTTAAGACCAAGATAAAGCAAGACCTATATACCAAGAAATGTAACTTTTGTATCTGATAAGGTTAGTCAAGTACCCTCAGGATTTATCCCGTAGCCCTGTACCGCACTTTGTAGATCCTTTGTCAGTGTCAGCCATGAGGATGAGTCACGGCCATTGCTTGACCAATCTGCTCTCTGTGAAAGCCTGACAGAATGTTTTTTCTCTCCATGTGACTCTCCCCAGGCACACTATACATCATCTATCACACTCCTCTGTGGCACCATGATCTTCTTGATCAGAAAATTTGGAGTACAACTGAGTTACATGTTGTTACAGTACAGGTTCTCCTATGTCCCGAGTCTTCACTGACCTTGAAAGGCTAGGGCCAAAATGTTGGCTGACCTTACAGCCCTTCTTTTTCTCCAATTTTGAACTGCTAACTTAGGTTGTTAACCCTCCAGAAGAGAAGCTTATTATTAAACTGCAATATATGCAGTTCAGTTTACCTTATCTGTCTAAATATTAAACATCTTTGGCATATCATGGAACAGGTATTTTCCATCAAATATTGGTATGTTGAACTTTAAGACCTTACAGAATATATAGGAAAAATAATTTTATGAAGGTAGAAATAAGCATTTACATAATTTTACAAAGAAATTTAGAAATCTAACCATATGCAGAATTGTAACAGTGTAGATCTGTGACTTTTTTTTTCTTATTGTGACTTTTTCTTTTTTATCACCCTTTTAAAAAAAAAGAAAAAAATCTTTACTTGAGAGACATTATGGCAATAAATGGTATGTCATGACAAGAAGTACATATTTAGAAGACCAGGATGGCAGGCACTCCAAGTGTGACCCCTCTATTACACATTGCCATCCTCAGTGCAGCCGCCTGGCTCACAGGTACCAGCATATACAGTTAGTCAGGGTGAGAATCTCACCAGCCAACTGCTAGTCTCAAAAACCTGCTGATGTCCCCCAGGATCACTGCCCCACCCATCTCATGCGTACAAATGCATGGCTTTTCCCCTGTCATGTTTCTCAGCTTTTCTCTTTGCCCACTCCTCATTGTCCAGTCCTCATTGTCCAGTCCCCTTTCCTTTTATTTGTGTTGTAACTTTCTATATGTAATTCTTCTTTTAAGTTCTTATTCTAGGGGCTGGTGAGATGGCTCAGTGGTCTAAAGCACCTACTTAGAACAAGCTTAGCAAAACCCAGGGACCGCGGTTCAATCCCCCAGCACCACATGCCAGCCAGCCTGCCCCCTGGTGGGCTGAGCTGGCCACACACACACACACACACACACACATAAATTAAAAAAAAAAAAAGTTCTTATTCTAGGGAGACAATACGACATTTACATATGTGGGTCTGGTTTATTTCCCTTATAAGTATATCTTCAAGGGGCACCCACTTAAATATGAAGGCTTCGAGTTTATCATTCTTTATAGCTGAGTAATACTCCATTACATAAAAGTACCACATCTTTTTCAACCATTTCACATGTGATGGGCATCTTGGTTGTTTCCAAGTTCTGGCTATCACAAATTGTGCTGCTATAAACATAGGCATGCATATATCACTATGATATGATGCTTTCAGTTCCTCTGGGAAAATTCCCAGCAGG